AATCATTAATGCAAGTTTGGCCACTGTATGAACAGCACGTGAACGTATTCATTTTGGATACAGAGTTCCGGTTCACTCGACTTCATTGCAACAGCTTTAGCTACGTACAGGAAACGTAATCAAACTGTACATGATAGGGACTTTGGAATTTGGTATATAACCCTGTAGGCTGTGTTGGTGTTGATGCGATGTCCATTATCGACCAAGTGTGACAAAATCGAGCCTTTTATGCATTTGATTTCCCCCTTGATGAACCAAGCTGGTGGATGTTCTCCAACCTGTAGATGAACCTGCCTAATCGTTCTCCCTATGTAACTTGAATCACAGGAACAGTTGAAATGGTATATGCATGAGGAAGAACTAAGGTTAATTAAGATGTCCTCCGGTTTCTGGATGAACATTAGGCGGCTACTGAAGGATAGGAACAGACGCGCGGAATAAAATTTATTTTAACGCTCTAGTTAAACACTGCGATAGAATCTTCGCAGGATTATCTCCATTGAACTGTAAACGTAACAGTGATGGCTTTTTGCCCACCTTAGCCAACTCATGTTTGCGACTATCGTTGCGTATGTTGTCATGAACAAACTTCTTTGGATATTCGCTCTCGCCTAAGGTATCCCTTCTAGTTAGTAGGACGTCAAGGAAGTTCACAAAGTCGTTGTATTCTCCTTCGTAGGTGAAATAATAAACAACCGGATGAGCATTACTGAAGTTGCTCAAAATCAAATCAATGCGTGACCCTTCGTCGTATACTAAAAAAGTTTTATCCATGTAACGATAATACATTTCATCTTTCAATGGACTGTTTTATAGTTTCGCTACAGTTTCCATGGGGATCGCATGAGGACTATTTTGTGAGTGATTACAAATTTGAAATGTGCGAATGAAAAAAACATTTCCAACTGTTGTTGAGATCGCTTTCAGTAATTTTGCTTGAAAAAATAGTAAAATCAAAACAACAAAAAAATAACTATCATTGTGTATAAGCTACTATTGTAAAATAGAATTATATTCAATTGATGTTTTTCACAGTACACTAATTTTTCAAACAGGCCTTAATTACTATCGTGATATGTGGGTGTCGTTCCTCACGCCTACGTCGTTGTCTACGTATACTTCCTCTGACGGATTATCTTCTCCCACGCCTACGTCATTTGCTATATATACATATTTTTTATTATACTAATATCATGTTTACTCCGGAAAATATGTTAAATCACATTAAAGAATTGTTAGCTGAATTTCTTACGGAATATTTACTCTTCATATAGAATCATCATTCTCTCTGGAAAAAATTCACTTTTTCGTGAAAGTTTTCTTCCATATTCTTATTGAAGTGCTTACTAGTAGTGTAGAGCCTAATTAAACATTTTCGTCAGTTCATGTAGTTATGCAAGCACACAACTGAAAGATTAAAACAACAAGAAATAGAGGAAAAGTAGATGTGTGGTGTGTACTACTGAAAAGATTTCTCAGTAGTAGATAAAGAGACATTCATTGACATAAAAATATCAAAAAGCAGGGGAATGTATTTGATTTCAAAGAAGGCAAATTATACAGCATTGTGGAAATATATGAGAGACGTGAAAGGATCACAAAGAAATACAATATGAGTGACAGAAGCAGCAAGCACAACACGGAAGATCTTTACGTATGATGATTTGAAGATCAAGTGTCCGTAATTTCGCTATATAGAGATGCCAAATTCTGCATGAACACTCCTTAACCAAGACTCTTATCTTATAACATTAAAAAGGCATAACTATGTGAAGATTTAGGTAGCTTAATGGTTTAAGCAAACCGCTAGTTATTTCTCCTACTGGAGTTCCATCACATGTGAGTACTGGTGAAAAAGAACTCTGCAAGATTTTAAAATGAGTTCGAAATCCTTAGGGATTTTTATCAACTGAGTTATGTCTGTTAAAGAAGATGGAGGTGATGAAGGTAACAAACCAACAGCAGCAACAACCAACACTGATCACCGTCAACGGAGGAAATTTGAAAGAGGTTGCTACCTTCATCCCTCTAGACAGCATTGTTTCAACCACAGGTAGTTGGAACGGATATAGATGTCTAAGCCAGCCAGCCAGAATCGGAAAGACAAGATACACCTCCATCAACCTGAAACCAGTTTGGAAGTCTTCTGCAATCAGACAGTGTGAAGTACAAGATTCGAAGTTTCAACACCAATGCTGACTCAATCAGTTCTCTTAAATTTGTCAGTAGCAAGGCCAGTGCGTGATAAAGAGAATTCCCCTCAAGTTACTGAAGACGTTTATCAACAGCTGTATACTGAAGATTAAATGGCCGACCGGCGGGCTAGAAAGTATTAGTAACTAGAAACAATGGGAAAAACTAACCAAGATTTTATCATTCAATAAATGTTTAGGAGAAAATGGAGATGGATTGGGCATACGCCACTGAGGAGACCGTCAAACGATATCGCGCGCCAGCCAGGCCATCACTCGAGTAGAATCCCAATGGAAAATGACGAGGAAGCCGCTTTGGGGTGACATGCAGGAGATCGTCTGAGGAGGATATGAGAGTTTGTAGGTAATCGTGGACCCAGCTATAGAGAATTAGAAAATAGTACAAAGTGTTGTTGACGCCCTATGATCCACTCGGAACCTAAGGGAACAATAATAAGTTATGTCTGTAAATGAATCGGAGACTCTTTATGTAGCAGGTTAATTCCTAATTTGTTGAAATTGAACGAAATCGCTTCTTTCGATTACTTAGATGATAACAATTAAATAATTACATTTACATACATAAGGTTACATAAATACAATTATTATTTAATTACAAGTAATAACAAAGGAGATTAAGGGTAATAATAATTTTCAACTTGATGTGAAAATTTGAAGGTGCGAGTATAGATTACAAGAAGCTTAGACATAAAATTACACAGGATTGGAAAATACATGCGTATTATGTGAAATATGCGGGAAAAGAATCGTTCTCTATCATCCAACCACTACTTCTGCCATGGCCAGCGTTCAGTGGAGACTATAAATTCAGGAAATTGTCTTATTATTTCTCCAAATTTGCCTGTGTATTGTTATGTTGATGCTATCGAAGTGTAATCCATTGATATTGCTATTATTACTATTGACTCGATGTTATTTAAAAAGTACTAATGCTGTCACTAACACTAATTCACTCATTGTTATGTATGTACAACTGTAGAACCTAATGACAAAGTTTCCGAAAATAATATTCTTTTGAAAAATAATTTTATAGGTATTTTTAATCAGCCGAAAAGACATCTTTGCTGAACCTCCTTTTCTCTCTCTTTTTTTTAATCAAATTCCTTGATGGATGGTTTCCATGACATAAAAATTAAATTTAAAAAATGATATAATAAGATAGCCATTCTAAAGAGTAAACTTTATTTGTTATATTTATGTACGAACTTTAACCTAATGATTCAAAGAAACCTTTTTGCATTCATGAATTAAACTGAAATGCTGTCGTAAGAGTGACTGTGTGTCAGAATTCCTCCTATTTTCATGGTATCATAGTTCAGTCATGATGATCCCTTAGTTACTTTACATTTGAAATATCTTGATAAAAGTGGGCAAACAAATGGTTGTGAATGTGACCTAGAACAAGTCCAGCGAAGTTAAACTCTGACACCACTAACTACCAATCAGAGAATGACCTAAAGCACACCAATCACGTGAATGAGGCATTTTTGTGTATGGAACACATATATTTTTGAGAATAACTGTGTTCCATTGTTACAGAGGATACCTTTCTTTCAGATGTGATAAAAGTTGCTCTCAATTTTCGGCTGGAGTGTCAACAGAGTATAATTCCATTGTGCTGGCATTGTGGCCAGCTTGAACCAGGTAGTCTAATGCCAAACTGTCAATAGTATTTACAACACCTTTACTTAGCCAACCTGGTAGATTTTCTCGAGAGAGCACGAGAAATCAAGTTCCTAGAGTAGTAAGCAATTTAACTAGCTGCACCACAGTGCACAAGTTCTATTCTTATATCAACAGAATAATTTAACCACATTCTTTGCATGTAATTATTTAGGTCTTCTAGCCCTAACAGTAACCCTAATTTTTCTGAACCTAACCCTAATGTGAAAATATCCCTAAGCTAACTGCAATCTAACTCGAAACAACCGTAATGTCGCCTTTATTAGGTTAACCTAACCCTAACTTGTCCTTGGCATAAAGCGTAACTTAATCTTCCACAAGCTTAAGCTGAAACTTGCCAGATATCCCATTTAATAGCATAACACTTCGATGCGCATATTTTATTGATGATGACAACATTATTTGCCAGGTCTCACTGACTTGCTCAGTGTGCGTTTCAAGGTCATTAGTGCGGTCACACTCCATTGGTAGTTAGTAGTGCTTAAAGTTTAACTTGACCACAAATTCTTCTCCCATATTATTGAAACTCATTTCAAGTTAATCGATTCCTTTGAAAGCACCCAAAGTATATATATATACATAATTTAGATAAATAATTAATAAGAAAGAATAGGTGTGAAGGGCGTAACCCATAAAAAAACTAAGTTATCAAAAGCTTAAGTTAGCTTCTTTTAACCAATGAATACTAAAGCAGTTTCACTTTCTCATATGCGATAAAATCGCAGTCTTTTCACGTATTCCTTTTTTGAATTTTAAATGATCTATGCAAGAAACAATAATACATAGTAATACTGATGTATACAGGTTGGAAGAAATAAAAACAAAAGAGAATTATCATTTTTTTGCTCTGTTAAATAACCTGGATATTTAACAAAGTATCATTCATCGCTTAAATAGACCAATCAGTCATCACCTCCTGCTCACTTTTGATTGGTTATTCGAAATGCGAAGGATATTTTCTTAATTTTCTCAAATAAGATCTCAGAGTATCCCACTGTTATTTTTACTAAAACTTTGTATAAATTAGTTAACCAAAAAAAATTTATTCAATAAATAAAAAAAAGAACAAAACATTCACATAATTAAAGCATAGACATTTATATTATGGCTTATAGACGTTTAAGTATGTCACCAGGTGAAGCATTACACACTGAGATACCAGAGGCAAGACGCATGGAGAACTATCGTTCTGGCAATTGTCTATTAGATTTTTTCGATAGAAATACAAAAAGATTTCGTAATTTTACTGCTTCACAATTTGGTGATGTTTGGAATTATTTTGATCAAGATGGTGAGTTCAATTTTTTTTTGGCTTATTGTTCCTTTTGTTAAATATAAAGTTCAGATTTTATTAGTTTACTAGTCCGGTCGTAAGGCCAGGAAAACAAAAGAAAGGCTGATTGTAAGGCTAATTATTACTACCTCGAAAAATCAATCAAATCACTACAGAAACCAAAATGCACGACAAAAATACTTTAAAGAATGCCTATTTTCTTTGCTAGAATCGGAGAGACGATATGTTGCGGGCTGGTGAAAGACTTCGGGATGTCAGTTAGTTAATGTGTATTCTCTCTATTCTGTCCACTTGGACGAAAACCATGACCACACTGAGGGACTGGCTACCATGATGTAATCAACAGCATCAGTGGGAATCAATCTCTACCCACATAATGAGGCGGAGATAACAACTTGTTGATAATCGTGGAGGCAAATAAAAAGGACTTCAGAGAATGGAATGATATGAAGTTGTGCTGCTGAAGCTTTTTGTCACACTGGGAACTTTAGGGAATAATAAATTACAGTTGGTGAAAACAAATCTATGAATTTCGTGTGTTCAGTGAGTCTGAGTGTCACTGGTGATAAACAAACAGCATCAAATATTGTGTTCCTGGAGATACACAAGGCTCGTTTCGCATATGCCAGTTTACGTCGTCTCTGGCGTTGACGTGATATCCGACTGTTGAATAAATGGCGTGTGTATTGCTCAGCAGTTCTCTCTGTCCTCCTTGATGGCTGTTAGACCTGACCATTGAAAGTGGAAGACAGGAAATGGCTGGCTAGCTGTCTTTGATCATAGGTGTCTGCATTCTATCTTCCGTACGAAGTGGTGGTATAATTGGGTGAGCAATACTGAGGTTAGGCATCGGTCGAGTGCTAGGTTAGGAGGGAAATCAATCGACGAGGCTGTGAAGTTAAATGGATTGAGATGGTTAGGACATGTGTTACGTATGCCTGGCCATCGCCTTCCTCAAAATGCAATGTTAGCTGACACAGGACTGATCAGACTGGAAAAGAGCCACTGGTGGTCAGAACAAAACGTGGCATTAGTCATTAAAATCTTTGATAGGTAGTTTAAGCTACTTAGGAAGGTGTAAACTTCCTGGTAGTAGTCCTCGGGAGGGCAGGAGACAGTTGATGTGGCTCAAAACCGCTCTCAATGGCTGGTGCAGATGCATTCACTCTTTGTGATTTATAATATCCAATAAAACTTTACTGTTCTTCGTTATTTTCATTCTTTTAGCCTCATATCTCTGTTTACTGTCTCTATTTTGCATTTCTGTTTACTCTCCTCTCTTGATTTGTGTACTACATGGAGTGTTGCGAATCGAACTGTTACACACCGGTGCGAAGTACTACATTGAAACCAGTTAGTCAGTCAAAGATTTGAGTGCGAGTGACATACTAACTTCGGAACCTAATGCTCCTTGGTTAGATCCCATTTGAGTAATACGTGGAAGAAGCTGAATAGGCACAAACTACGACGGATCAGTTGTCACCGGCTTTCATTGGTAACTAAACTGACAAAATCTACTTTGAAAACAGAATAAATATCCACAAATGATCAGTTTTCCTCATAATCAGCTTTCCATATACTTTTAAGGTCAGATTTATACAAGTGAATAGAGCAAGAAATGGATTGCTCAACAGACTGTCAGGTTAATAAACTTGCGGATGATATTTAAAATTCGACCGTCATTTAAATTTTTTGTCTGTAGTTCGATCATAATTCCTCTCGTTGCTGAGACTAATCCACCGAACAAGGTCTATCTGAACGGGGAATTCATTTTAACCAAACGTTGTTTCCAAAAATTCAGTATTTAACCTTACAGCTAGGTTCGATGACCTGAAGCTCCCTGGTTCAATACCTGATGGTTTTTTGGATGAACATTGAAGAAGGGGCTATAACCAAGACGAAACTACTGTTCAGCACTACATAGATCCCTTTATCCGATATTGGTTTGTGACGAAATCTGCTTTGAAATTAATCAAAGTCCAACAAAAGACGCATAATCTAGATTATTATTATTATCATTCCTGAAGTCTCGTGTAAAACACTGGACTTTAGCAGCTCATCTCCATTTTACTTAGTTCATAGCTGTCATTCTCAAAGGGATCTACGCCTAGCTACATGATATCATTCCTTCTTTGCATGATCTCCCACATGCCACCCTCCAACCCACTCCCAACCTGTAGTTTCCTATATAGGTTCTACGCAGTGGCCTGATCGTAGTGTATCGTACAAATATCCTGTTAGAGTATGTCCGATTCATCAATCTTTATTTTCTCCTTCTTCTCATTTGTTGTCCAGTGATCTTTGTTGCTTATCCTTTACAGTCAGTTATCTGATCTTCAGTATCAAGGTGGCGAAAGGATTAGGTCCTCGGGCAAAAGTCTACAGTGTAGGATGTTGTAAATGCTTTCGTGGAGGCATTAATTCTCTAACTAAGAAAACAGAATAGTTTTACTTGAATTAAGCACTAAATTCCAGACATCAAAAGATAAGTGAAGCATATCCTTCCTTCGCCTAATCCTCCTTAATTGCAGCTGTAACTGTATGACACCATATATACTACTAGTTAAGTGAATTGAGTAGTTCATTTTTCATCGTTAACATCAAACAGTAATGCTTTCTAGCCACATCGATATGAGCTGAACATCGGACTGCTGTTTAATTCATTTGAGGCTAAGCTCATCAGTGAGGTATACCCGGTTTTCATAAATTCGGCACCAAACGAGTGATTTCAGCTAAAATTTTTAATAAATAAAAATTGCACCGATCGCGCTAAACATTGGAAATCCATAGAAGTAAGAATTCATGGTGCATTCTATTAGTTCTCAGTGACTGAATTGTCGACGAACTCGCCTTGTAATCAGAATGTTGAGAAGTTCAATCCCCAGTGGGATCACAGATGGATGCTGCTGAAGAGTCAGAAACTAGGACGAAAGAGCTGTGTCCAGTTATTCCTACCTGTTCACTTGTTCTCAAATTGCTGAAAAATAACACGTGAATATTGAAAATTATTCACAATTTTAATAGATCGAGTGACATTTTCGAAATAAAATTTGGACAGAAAATTTAAAACATCAACAGTTACTTTTCATCTCATAGAAATATTAAATCGAAATAGGAGAAAAATAATAATGAAAATGTGAATAGAAATCCACAACTCATTTTATGATTACCTCTTTTTTTCCTATATTTTAATTTAATTTCATTCTTCAATCTGATTTTTTAATCTTGGTAGTTGGAATAAAAATTTTGATATTACATCGTTTCTGCCCCATTCTTTCATTCATTCATTCACTCACTCACTCACTCCCTTGCTTCGTGGTTATACAAGTTAGTCACGTGAATGTAAAGAATAATTCTACTAAACCTGCTTCTCAAGAATAACACTGTCAGTTAAAAGTTAAATTTAAGAATCCCTACCGAGTCATATAAGAGAGCTGGCGTTCAGCAAAGAGCTACTTCTGTTTTCGGCGATATCATTCTCAAGCTGCACAATATATATATATATATAGTAAATTGTCTTAGCAACAAAAGGTATCTTTCCAAAGATTTGTCATTAGAATTGTAAATTTTAGATGATAAATTTCGGTAATGAGTTAGAAACTAAGGTAAAGTCAAATAAGCGAGTCGAGTGACGTAATCTAATGGATAGGGTTGAGTAGGGCTCAACTAAAATTAAAACTAAATGAAAGTCAAGTTAACAATAGTGTTAGCATCGATTTAGGGAAAATATTATACAATTAAGAAACAAACAAGCAAGGAGGCAAAGACGAGACAAAAATTACGTATTTGGTGTTAAGATAGTTCAGGTCCACTGTAGATTTAATGACTGAACAAGTGTTCATTATAATAAAGATTTTTTGTATTTCCCAATGAATGAAAAACAAAACGATATTGTTGTTTTTACTGACGTTTCGCTATTTAATGCTGTTGCTAATAGCTTTATCAAAGTATTATTAAACCAGAATTTTAAAAATCTCAGCTTATATATGACAAACTTAATCATCGTTCCTCATCATTGGGGTTATTTTTGCGTTATCAAATTGGCCAACTGGTAAAGATAATAAAGCCCAGTTATAGATTGTTGGATTTGATAAGTGGGTAAAATTATTTTTAAAAAAGCTTCAGAAATCACAACGAACGTCTGATATCAGAAGCACTTCTTAACATAGGGAATTCAAATTGTCTGAATGTTGGAATGATGGACTAAAACAGAATTTGACCTGGTTAAAACACCCATCATCCACCATGAAATGACGAAATCAACAAGAATGTGATAAGCAATTTCATTATGTAAGTACATGCTGTTCTTATAATTTTACACACTTATCAAATCCAACAATCTACGTATAGTTTTGCTATCTTTACCGAGTGGCCAAATTGACAACATTAAAATTATTTCATGCTGATGTAGGATGAGTAAGTTGTTTGTATACAAGCTGAGTGGATTTTGTAAATTCTGGTTTAATATTACTGCTTTGATAAAGCTATTAGCAACAGCATTAAATAGCGAAACGTCAGTAAAAACAACAATATCGTTTTGTTTTTTCATTGGGATAAACAAAAAACCTTTATTATAAGGAATATGGTAAACCCAATACCCAAGTTTCTTTTCAAACTGTTAAAGGTGAGCTTGGTTTAGGCATTTATAGCTGAACAAGTTTCTTTTGTAAATAGAGTTCAGGTTTCAAAATGTGAATAGCAATTGTCATTGCTTCTGTGGTTTGAAGAAGTTTGATTTCTACTCTTCTACAAAGGTTCCTACGTATTTTGTAGATGAGTTTGTAGTTCCTTTGTAGATTAGTTTAGTGTCCAGATTCTATCAGGTTTAACTCATTGAAAAATTTACTTTTCGAAGATTAAATGCATTTTTTGTTCTTCTTAAAGGCTTCAGATTTCCCACCCCGTTTCCTACACACCTACTTAGAGGAATATTACTTTCAATTTCGAAGGTTATCATAGAATAAAATAAAATTCTTTATTCAAATATTCATTATAAA